GTGATTTCATATTTGATGTATACTTATTTATCACTATGTTTATGAAAAATATGAAAATCTGGATTTTTAAACATCTAAATTATTATAAATAAAATAATTAAGAGAGGAGTGCTTGAGTCTTTGAGCAATTAATAAAATTATTTTAAAGATGATGAAAAATTGTTAAAAATAGGATATAAACAATTAGTTTTCTTCAAATATATTAAAAACTATTTTAGTTATATTGTAGAGTGAATAAAGTTAAGATTAAATTATTTCAATGATGAATTTTCTTGAGAACTTGTTCATTTTTATCATGCTTCTCATATATAACATTTTTTCTAATGCACATGTTTGCAAGCTTTTATGGTTATTTTTGGACAGTGGACAGAGAAGTTTAATCTGCTTGAGTACACTTAGAGTAAATAATTAAGCTGCCAACAATGTGGATTTGTGTGAAACATGATGTTAGCTGCTTACACTTTGTTTAAACTGGGCTTTAAAGTTAATAAATTTAAATACAAATTTCCACGATAAAGTGACAGCCAGCATGCAACCAACTGTTAATAACATTCATAAACATTTCCAATGCTATCACATAGTTATATTCATTGGCAAAAAAGTTATGCACCATGAAGGAGCATTGAATTGAATGAAACTTTACTAGTGTGAATGTAATGACAATGTAGTAAGTAAGGACCAGATTTATATAATCTATTCAGATTTACATTCATCTATATATGCACATAAAAATGCTTGAATATGATCAAATATGATTTTCAAATCCCTTGTGTCACCTATTATTGCAGGTCCCATTTCCACTTAAAAACAGTGACATAATAGTCTTGAATAATATAAAAATGCTTGAATATGCATTATGCATGTTAAAAGTACTAGTAAAATACACTAAAATTTGTAGGTTGAAATGCATACAAATTTATTGTTTGAACAAATTTCACTAAAGGCTATTATTTCACTGTTTTTAAGTGGAAATGGGACCTGCAATAATAGGTGACAAAAGGGATTTGAAAATTATGACATCACAAAACATGTATTAGAATAACGCATCATGAAGGAAGTTTGGTGAAAAGTGGTTGTTTGTTCTCATGTTGTTCACATGAACAGCAGGAGAACAAAACCATTCAAAAGTGTTGCTGTTCTCTCATGAAAAGAAACACAAGAGCTTAGGATTTCTGAACATATTTTTATGCTGTCAATGTCCCTCATATCACTACTAGGAGTAAATGATTGTCATATGAAATGACTCCTTCAGACCAGCACACCAGAAGTAGGGTAGTCCACCACTCTAACAAGCATTCACTAGTGATCCTCCACACTCTAACACTAAGGGTATCAGTTCTCAAACAGAACCAATAGTCATTGCTTTTTACATACAATGTTTTTAGATAATAAATTGTGATCAATCCTCCTGTCAGATGTAAGGTTATTTCCATTTTTCAGTTACAATAACCAGAAATAAACAGAATCTAGTCATAAGTCAGGGAACAAAGAAATACTCCACCAAAAAGTTTAAATGAAAGATGTCATGGCATTTAAAGTAGGATCTTTGTTGATGTGGATACATTTTGTCCAGATCAACAAAAATTCTGCAGATCAGCTTCCTTGTCATCTTCTGGGACCATTCATTAACTATATTTACAGTTCAAGGGAGGGAGAGGATTGAAAAAATATACATCACTGTACATGATAGAAAAGGTGAAGATCAAGGAATCATCTATGTGGACTTTTCTTATTAGTGCCGCACGAATTTGTTCTTAAAGCCTGCTTACTACTTATGTGAATAAACTATCAATTAGGAAATATTTTTTGAAACATTTCTTCAATATCAAGGTATATGAAATATTGTATGTGTAATTAAACAGGAAAGAGTTTACCAAAAGTACATAATTGTACACATGGAGGGTCAAAAATTGTACATGTAATTAATGGATGGTTCCAGTAGTTTGTCAAGAAACATTTATATTTCTGAAGATGAAAATGTATAATGGTGCAAAAATCAATCAAAGGAATAAATTTTATGAAAAATTTAGATTTAAGAAAATTAATTTCTTAATTATTATTGAATAATTAAAAGTACACATCCAAAAATGCCTTTTTTCCACAATAAAATTATAAAACCTATAAGTTCCAAATATTTCAAATTTACATATACTCAGAAGAGAATATAATATTTCTATTCCATTAAATCATTCCAAACTTACATCTATAAATTGGAATGGTTTTAGAATAGTGTAATTTTCAAGATTTTTGTTATTCCGTGGCTGGGTGCCACCTGTTGCCTTGCAATTGTAAAAACTGTACTGATATTATTATTTGTAAAATATGAGATTTTAATAAACTAGAAATGTAGTCTCCTGATGATCACTAAATAAACTAAAATACTTCTGGGATTTATAAACTCTATATTTTTGCTCTGACAGAAAATTTTTGAATGTATACTTTTAATTAGAAAAACAGTCTAGTCTAACTCTATAAAACCTGTACTAAATTGATTAATGAATTATCTAATAGAACTATAGTTAAACTGGTATATTAATATAATTCTCTGCATGGAATAAAACATACATTTTCACATTTTTTATTTTTTAATTACACTTCTTTGTGTAAATCTATTTTATTATTTTTTAAAAATAAATTTAATGTAATTAACTAACTTAAGTGCTTTCAGTATAGAATCTGTTTTTAGTTTTATAAAATAAAATTAATGATAAATAATTTGAATTAGCATTTATATAAAACTTTTCATAAATTATATTTTTTAATAATTTCAAATATACTTCTTAAAATTTTTAATTTTTAAGTTACAAATACATTATATTAATACTATTATATTCAAAGTTTACATTACACACTTATGGAAAGCTTCTCTTGCATATTAAATATTTGCAATTCTTTCATTCAGCACCATTGACTTATTTATCCATTCAAATAGATCCAGATTGCATAAACACATTCTAGAAACATTTAAACTCATCCATAAGAAATGATTCTTTATAATGAAAAATCCTTGCTGAAGTGACAATATGTTACCTTAATAGCACAAAACACATCAATTTTTTTCTATTACAGAAAAAGTATCTCGAGCTAAAATGTCACTACACAGAAAGCCAATAAAGAAGACCAAAATTAAAAAAGAAACCATTTCTCAGGTTGAAATTCAACCCACAACAATTGAAAAGGAAATAACTATAACTAGTACTACTAAAAAACAACCAGAGGGTTACTTTGTTGAAAAAGAAGAACAGCCCGAGACCAAACGTATCATAACAACAGAATCAATTGAAAAACCTGAAGATATAGAAATTATATTAGGAAAACGAAAGATTGATGTACAGACAAAAGTCAGGCGAGATAAAGTAATCACAATTGAAGAAATTGGATTTACACAAAAAGAAACTACTAATATTGAGAGTAAACCAAAAAAGCCAGATTATATAGAAATAACAGAAATGGAAGTACCTAAAGATGAAAAGCCAGCAATTTCAGAATATGTGGTAGAATTTCCAGAAGATGAAATTAAAACTGAAGAAAAAGAAGAAATTGTGGAAATAATAGAAAAGCCTGAAATTACAATAGATGTAACAAGTAAGGAAAGACCAAAACAAAAAACAGAAATTGAATTAATTCCAATAAAACCAGAAAAGATTGAAAAAGAAACTGCTGAAATTGAACTTAAGCCCAAAAAGAAAAAGCCAAAGAAAAAACCTGAAGTTACTGAAGTGACAGAAATAATTAAAAAACCAGAAGAAGAGATTGTGGAAGAAGAAATCACTGAAATTGAAATCACTAGAAAGAAAAAGCCAGAAGAAAAGGTGGAGATAGAATTCATCACAGAGAAACCTGAAAAGGTTGAAAAAGAAACAACTGAAATTGAACTTAAACCAAAAAAGAAAAAACCAAAGAAGAAACCTGAAGAGGAAGAAGTAGTTATTGAAGAAATCACAACAATCACAGAAAAGAAAATATCTGAAAAAGAAGAAATCATAACAACACCAGAAAAGAAAATTAGAAAGAAAAAAGAAGTTACTAAAGAAGAAATTTTATTAACTGATATTCCTAAAACAGAAATTGAATCATTATTACCAATAAGTGAAATTGTTGAAGAACTTGTCCCAGAAACATTTCCAGAAAAAGTGCAAGCAATTCTTTCTATTGTACCACAGCAGCCTCTTTCCATTTCTTTCATAAAGCCACAACAACATGAAACTGAATCAATGCCATTTGTACCTTTATCCAAACAAGCTAAACCCTCTTTTCATCCAGAAAATGCTGTAATTATATCAGAGGTCATTCCGCAATCGAAAGAAACAGAATTAATATCAAAAGAAAAGGTTTATGAGGGTAAAGCAAGAGTTATGGTTTCTGAACATGAATCCTTCTTGGTATCTGAAGTGGAAAGCTCATTTAAGGAAGAAGAACTTAAAACATTGAAATATGATAAACATCAGGCTAGTTTAGTGATGATTCCCAAATTACCTCTTGTTATTGAAGAAACAGAAATATCATCATCTCCTTCAGAAATAAAGCATAAACTTCCAGCATCTCAGCAGCTGCAATATTATATATATCCACATCAATCTGTTATAATAGAAGAAATTAATACAGAAGGAAAAGAAGATACTCTAATCTCTAAAGTTTTGCCTGATAAAAAACAGATTGAACCAACTGTAGCATCACATGAAACATTGATGGTAACAGAAGTTCATGCAGAAACTCAACCTTCTGAATTACTTATTAAGAAACCTACTTCTGAAATAGCTCAACCTCATATGATACCACATGAAGCAATGACTGTTTATGAAATAAATAGTAAAATAAAGGAAGATATTTTAAAACCAATGGAATATGAAACAAAAGGTGCCATCACATCTTTTCATACAACTGAAAGTGTGCTTATTTCAGAAGTATATACAGAAGACAAAGAAGATGTACTAAAAGCAGAATTTATCCCAGAAGAAAAATCTGCTGAAAGAGTTATTGGGGATCTTAAATCTGTTATAGTAAATGAAATAAATACTTTAGGCATAACAGAAGAATTAGAAACTGCAATACCCAAGGAACATATTCCTACTATAAATGTTGCAACAGCACAATCAATTTCTATTACAGAAATCAATACAGAAATGCAAGAAACTGAAATGAAACCATTTATTCGTCCACAAGGAAGAAATCTCAAACTTGAAGTAACTCCAATAGAAGCAATGGAAATCATAGAGGTAGAAACACATGATAAAGAAGGTGCAGTTAAAGATATTTTGCCTGAAAAATCAGAAAGTACACTGAGTTTTATTGAAAAAGAAGCTGTTAAAATAATACAAGTTGAAACAGGCCAAAAAGAAGATGAATTACTTCCTGATATGATTCCAGACAAAAAGAATGCTTTATCATCTATTTTGGCTACAGAAGCATTAACTATTGAAGAACTAAATGTGTCTCAACAAGAAAATATATTAGAAGTTGATGAATTACCAAAAGGAGTAAAAGCTGCTCCTATTCATCCATCAAAATTAGCGATAACCATTTGTGAAATAGAAACTGCAATATTTGAGGATGAATTGAAAGAAGAGAAAACTATTTCTAGTCAAGCAAAATCATCAATTATTCCTGAACAAGCAATTATTATAGAAGAAATAGAAGCTAGTTCAAAAGAAGGAATCATGCCTGAAGAAAAAGTTCCCTTTTCTGCTAAAGCTGAATCTGAATTTATTTCTACACAAGCTGTTGGTGTAGAGATACTTGAAACTGCAATTAGAGAATCAGAATTAAAAATTATTAAACCTGTAAGAGAAGATGCTGAAATTTCTTTTCAAACTTCAGATTCTGTCATTATTAGTGAAACTACTGTTCAAGGTACTGAAGCAGAGTTAGAATCTTCAATTCCTAAGCCTATTATTGCTCAAATGCAATTTTATCCTAAAGAAGCTCTGACTATTGAGGAAACTGAAAGTAATTTCAAAGAAGGATCTATGAAAGAAATGAAAACAATATTAAGTAAGGCAGTGCCTACTCTTCCAGAAAGTAAAGCAATTGTTATTTCTGAAACTGAAATTATTGATAAAGAAGAAGAATTTAAAAGCAAGACACTTCCTGAAACAAGGAAAGCTCAACCTGACGTATGTACTGAAGAAGCTATAACCATATCTGAGACAGAAGTTAAATGGAAAGAAGAGACTTTAGTTTGTGATATACCTAAAACAAAGATGGCAGATGTCAGTCTCATAGCCAAACAAGCAATAGAAGTAACTGAAGCTGAAACACATTTGAAAGAAGGAAAATTACATTTGAAAGAGCTACCAATAGAGAATAAAGCTACTCATGTATTTTCAGAACAAACAGCATTAGAAATAACATCTAGTGAATCTGGCATTAAAGAAGGAGAATATGTCCCTGAAATTCAACCTGAAAGCAAAGTAGCACAATATCAAACTGTTTTGCAGCCTGTTCAAGCATTGAATGTCACAGAGACCCAAACAGCAACTCTGGAAGAAATTCATAAAACTGAAATTCCTGAAGAGAAACAAGCAGCTCTTACTTTCACTGAATTTAAAGCAATGACTATAGAAGAAATAGAAACAGTTGACAGTGAAGAATTATTTAAAAAAGCTAAATCTCCAGAAAAGAAACATGGATTAATAACACTGTCAACAGAAGAAGCTCTATTGATTACTGAAACAGAAAGCCAATCAACTGAGGAAGAATTGAATGTAGTTGTGCCACAAAGTCAAACTGCTCAACCAACATTATTACCTATCATTGCTCTTTCTGTTACACAAACTGAAACAGCTTTGATAGAGAAAAGATTAAGTCCAGAAAAAGCAACAGAACAAAAAGTGAAAATTTCATTACCAACTTATGAAGCATTAGAGATAAGTCAAACAGAAGTAGGAGATATTGAGAAGAATTTAGAAGAGGATATTAAGCCTGAACAACAGAAAGCCAAAACATTAATAGGAACAGAGAAGGCTGTAGAAATTCAAGAAACTGAATTAATGGATTCAAGTGAATTATTAAAACATAAAGAAAAGCCTGACTCACATTTTGCAAAGTCAGATATTTCACCAGAAAAATCAATTATAGTTACACAAACTGTTGTGACTGATGTCAGCAAGGAGGGAATTGATCAGTTATCATATACAACAGATAAAGCAGACATAGAATTTCAAGAATACAAACCTATTTCAGTATGTGAAGTTAAACCAGGCGATATAGAAGAAAAGTTGGCACCTTTTATTCTTCCAGGAACCAAGAAAGCTACAGAATTAATATGTAAAACTGAAGCAGTAGAAATTAGCGAAACTCAAACTGAAGAAAGTGAAGAAAGCTTAAAACTACATAAATTACCTAAAACAGTTAAACCTAATGTTGAATTAACTGAATCTGAAGCTTATCTTACTACAGAAACACAAGCAGAAAGTCATACATCTGAATTTGAACAATTTATTCCTAAAACTGATCAAACCACCATTAGTTTCATTACCAATCAACCTTTAACAATAGCTGAAACAGAAACTATTTCTACAGAAATGCCATTTGAATCACAAGAACTCAAACAACCTACTTATGCACAAGAAGGATTAACCATTGAACAATCCATAATTGTTTCTGATGTTCAAGCAGAAATTCAAGCAGAAAAATTTACACCCGAAAAAGTAAAAGAGCATTTGGCAAAACCATTATTATCATTAGGTGAACATCTTACTGTTGATGAAGTAATTCTTGAAGAAGGATTTAAAGATATTGAAAAGCCAACAACTAAATCAGCAAATATACATTTAATACCACAAATATCATATGATACTCAAGAAATATTTAGTGCTTTGAAAGAAGAAGAACTTTTACCTGAAATAATGCCTACAGGTAAAAAAGCTCATCCTGCAGTTACACTTAAAGAATCATTCCAGATTAGTGAAATCTGTGCTATAGATAGAGAAAGTGAATTTCAACCTGAGAAATCTCAAGATGAAAAAACAGCAAAACCAATTCTCACTTCAAAAGAAGCTATTACTGTGTCCCAGATAGTTGCTGAACAACAGACATCTGCAATTAAAGACGAAAAAATCAACAAAGCTCATGCAGATTTGAATTTGTCATCATGTCAACCATTGATAATTTCTCAAACAGACACTTTAAGTCATGAAGAAGAATTAATTACTGAACATGCACCCAAACGATTTGTAACACCAATTTTATCACCTGAGCAATCAATAATAATAAAAGAAATTCAACCAGCTATAAAAGAAGATATTTTAGTAACAGAAAAACTGCCTACGACAAAAACAGCTATTTGTTCAATATCTGAATCAGAATCTATGATTACAGAACAAATAGTTGCAGGTAATACTTATGACAGCTTAAGACCTGAAGAAATTAAATCAGAACAGGCTGATATTACTTTGGTAACACAAGAATCCACAATAGTTTCTGAGGTTGAAACAAGTCAAAAAGAGGATAGTTATATTCCAACAGATATTCCTTCAGGTCATAAAGCAGTCATAAGTGTTCCTTTTAATGAGACTGCAATAGTTTCAAATATTGAAACAGGTGAAGTAGAAGATATTTTACATATCATTGAACATCCTAAAGGTAAGCATATTTCACCATTAATTCTTTCAGACAAAGCTGTTATTGTTGAAGAGACCACTGCTGCCAGCAAAGAAGAACAACTGATGCCTGACAGACCTATTCCACATCATAAAGCTGGCATTCATTTACTAACTCAAGAAGCTACTTTTGTTTCAGAAATTACAGCTGATATAAAGGAAGATGTATGGATTCCAGAAAAATTTATTACTCACAGAGCTAAAACTACTTTATCTAGCAAAGAAGGTTTATCTATTCAGGAAATAACAACAGGTGAAACTGAAGATGAATTAATGGAAATTGATAAACCAAAATCACATAAAGCTAAGGCTAGTATATCTCCAGAAGAAGCACTTATAGTAGGCTCAGTTGAAAGTGAAATGGCACCTGCATCAGTTGAAATCAAAGACATTCTTAAACAAAAGGCTGATATTATATTAGAAGTTAATCAATCAGTATCTATTTCAGAAACTGCTGCAGAAATGAAGGAGCAAGAATTATTCCCAGAAGAGAAGCCATCCAAGAAAGCCAAGGTTCTCCTCTCCGAACTTCAGTCTTTGGTTATACAGGATGTGACTATTGGAGGAATATCAGATGAATTAAAGGAAGACACCTTTCCAATTCTACATACAGCTGAAAAGCAAATGGTACTTCAAGAATCAATTATAATAGGTGAAACAGAATCTGCAATTAAAGAAAGTGAATTCATTCATGAATTGCCAACAACTCAAGAAGCTCGACCAATAATCCCAACTGTTCAAGCCTTACAAGTATCTGAAGTATCATTAGGTGCAAGTGAAGAAGAATTTATAACTGAAAAGAGACCAAATGTACATCATGCAGATATTACAATTTCTGGAAATGAACCCTTAATAATTTCTGAAATTAGTACTGAAGATAAGCCTGAAGATCTTTCTGTAAAAGGTCCAGAAACTAATAAAGCCAAAATATCTTTGTCTTCACAAGAAACTGTTCAAGTTACAGAGTTATACACAACTGAAACAGAAGGAATTCTTAAAGCTGATATTACTCCAGAACAAAAATCAGCAACTACAATTTTGCCAATAGAAAAATCATTACAAATTTCAGAAATAACAGCTGCTATTGGATCAGGAGATCTTGAAATTACTCCTTTAGCAACTACAAAGGCAAGAATTTCTTTCCCTGAACAAGAAAGTCTCCAAGTTTCTGAAATAAATGTTGGTAGTACAGAAAGTGATCTTATACCTGAAAAATTACCAAAACAACAGAAAGTATTGCCTGAAATATCACCTCAAGAAGCTCTTTGCATCTCAGTTACTTCATTAGCTGATAAAGAATCCACTTTCAAGACACCTGAAATGCCTGCTGAATTAACTGCTAATATTTCTATAACTTCTAAAGGCCATGTTGTGATATCAGAGACACAAAGCCATATAAAAGAAGGAGAATTCATTCCAGGAAAGCTTCCTCGACAATTACAGGCTGATATGACAGTACCTTTAGAAGAACATTTAGTAGTATCTGAAGTTGAGAGTAAAGTTAGAGAAGAATTATTAATATTAAAGAAACCAACTGAAGCTAAAGCAGGAGTAGAAATTCCATGTATAGAACATTTAACAACATCAATAACAGAAACTAGTTTAAAGGAGGAAGAATTCTTACCAGATAAATTACCAACAGAAGTTAAAATTGATTTTACAGTTCCTGTAGCAGAACATATTTTAGTATCTGAGATAGCATTAGCAACCAAAGAAGGAAAATTTGTTCCTAAAAAGATTCCATCAGGTACTACAGCTGACTTCACAATTCCAACTGAAAAGCATTTAACAATAACTGAAGTAAAACCAAATCTAAAAGAACAAGAGTTTGTACCAACAGAGAAACCACAAGAATTTACAGCTGAATTAACAGTTCCAACTGAACAGCATGTTATTGTATCAGAAATTGAGGCTCCAGTAACAGAAGGTGAATTAATGTTAGATAAAAAGCCAAGAGAATTGAATCTAGAAAGTTCTCTGCTTACAGATGAGTATGTCACAGTATCAGAAGTCCAAACTGAAGTTAAAGAAGGTGAATTTATTCCATCAGAAATTCCTGATTCTTTCAAAGCTGGCTTAAATGTTATTGCTGATCAATCAATAATTATATCACAGGTTCAATGTCAAGAATTAGAAGGAATGTTTGAAAAACAAAAATTACCTCGAGAAATGAAAGCAGATCTTACTCTTACTGGTAAAGAACATTTGATTGTGTCTCAAGTTGACACTTCTCTATCTGAAAAAGAACTACTCCCAGATAAAGCACCATTAAAGGAATCTGCACAATTTACTGTACCCACTGAAGAACATGTAATAATATCTGAAGTAACTACAGAAACTAAAGAAGATGAATTTATACCAAAGAAATTACCTCAAAAAATTGTGGCTTCCTGTTCAGTACCAACTGAAGAACATGTTACTATATCACAAGTGGAAACAGAACAGCGAGAAGAAAAATTTATTCCAGGAACAATGCCAAAAGAAATTACTGCTGGTTTTACTATTCCTACTGAGGAATCTTTAATTATTTATGAAGTACAGTCTGAAGTAAAAGAAGGAGAATATACTCCAAAACAACTTCCAACAGCTTTTGATGCAGAAGTAACTATTCCTTGCAAAGAGCACACAATTGTTTCTCAAATTGAAACTAACCTTAAAGAAGATGATCTTCAACCAGACAAGTTTCCAGCAGAAGTTAAAGCAAAGATGGATTTCTCAACAGAAACTCCAATAATTGTATCATCTATTCAAATGCATGATAAAGAAGGAGAATTTGTTGCTGGAAGATTGCCCAATGAAGTAACTGCTACGTCTGATATTCCAACCCAAGATTATTGTGTAGTTTCACAAGTTGAAACTGAAACAAGAGCTGGTGAATTTTCTCCAGAAGAACTTCCAGCTACAACAACTGCTGGTTTAGCCATTAGTACAACAGAGCATATCATTGTTAGTCAAATTCAGAGTGAAGTAAAAGAAGGTGATTTTGTTGCAGGAAAATTACCACTTACATCTCAAGCAAATATTGCCTTATCAATGGAAGAACATTTGCAAGTATTAAAAGTAGAAAGTCATATTCGAGAAGGAGAACTTGCTACTCTTAAACTTCCAACAGAATTAACAGCTATGTATACAATACCCACTCAAGAACATATTACTGTCAGTGAAACTCAAATTCAAACAAAAGAGGAGGAATTAATACCAGGAAAAATACCTTCTACAGTATCTGCTAAAGTAAAAATACCTACAGAAAAACATCTCACTGTATCTCAGGTAGAAACAGAAATTAAAGAATCGGCTTTTGATACTAAAGTCTTGCCAAGTGGCATTCAAGCTAATGTCACTATACCTCTAGAAGAACACATGATTATTTCACAAATTGAAACACCACAGAAAGAGGGTGCTTTTGTACCAAAAAAACTACCTCAGGATGTAAGTGCAGAATTCACTATTCCTACTGAGGAACATATTTTTATATCTGAAGTAGAAACAGATGTTAAAGAAAATGTATTTATTCCTGGTGAACTTCCAACTGCTTTACAAGCAGGAATGGGAATATCTGTGGCAGAACACATTATTGTCTCAGAAACTGAAACAGAAATAAAGGAAGACTATCTAAAACCTGAAAAGAAACCTCATGAAATGAGTGCAACTGTAACATTACCAACCTCAGATCATGTATTAGTATCACAAGTAGATACAGTTATAAAAGAAGGTAAATTTGAACCTGGAAAATTACCTGGAACAATACAGGCAGATGTAACAATACCAATGGAAGAGCATTTAACAGTTTCTATGACAGAAACTGAACATAAAGAAGAATTATTAAAAGTAGATACAAAACCTAAAGAAATGACTGCTGGTTCAAGTATGTTAACCCAAGAACCCTTAATTGTTTCTAAGGTTCAAACTGAGATTAAAGAAGGTGATTTTATTCCTGGGAAACTTCCAGTACAAGTACAGGCAGATTTTACAATATCTAAAAAAGATCACATAATTGTTTCTCAAACAGAGACCCATCTCAAAGAAAATGAATTAGTAATAGATAAACTTCCTACAGAAGTCAGTGCACAATATTCAATTCCAACTGAAGAACATGTAACTGTTTCACAGACTGAGACAGTGATAAAAGAAGGTAGTTTTATACCTGGAAAACTGCCAAAAGAAACAAACCTTCAATATAGCATTTTAACAGAAGAACACTTAATAGTTTCAGAAGCTGAAATTCATGCTAAAGAAGGAGAATACATTGAGAAAAAGCCTACAGAAGAAACAGCTTCCTTTACTATTCCCACAGAACAACACATTGTTGTAGCTCAAGTAGAAACTGAATCAAAAGAAGGAGAATTTAAAGCAAAGAAACTTCCTGGAGAAATTTCTGCTGACTTTACTGTTCCTACAGAAGAGCATCTTGTTGTCACAGAAGCTGTAACCCATCTTAAAGAAGAAGAATTTTTGATAGATCAAAAATTACCAGAAATTGTAGCAAAATATACTATTCCAACAACTCAACATATTACTATTTCAGAAGTTCAGTCAGAAACAAAAGAAGGAGAATTTTCACCTGAAAAACTTCCAAAACAAATTGTGGCTCAAGTTACTATTCCAACTGTAGAACACCTAGTTGTATCATCAGCAGTAGCAGGACAAAAGGAAGAAGAATTTTTGGAAAGGAAAAAGCCTACTGAATTTACAGTAGAACCAACTATTGGCATACAAGAACATATAATGATTAGTCAAACTGAATCAGTTATAAAAGAAGGAACCTTTGTACCAGGTGCTCTTCCAGAACAAATAACTGCTGGATTTTCTATTCCAGTAGAGAAGCATGTTACAGTTTCAATGACAGATGTCAATGTCAAAGAAGGAGAAATTTCACCTGCTAAACTTCCTAAAGAAATTACTGCTGGCTTAGTTATTCCTACTGAAGAATATCTTACAGTATCTCAAGCAGAAACACAACTTAAGGAAGGAGAATTTGTATCACCAAAACGACCAACTGAAATTCAAGCAGGTTCAACTGTTGATGTCGAAGAACCTTTGGTTGTTAGCTTAGTAGAAACTGAAATTAAAGAAGGAAAATTTATTCCAGGAAAACTTCCTGAAGAAATTACAGCTGAATTTACTCTTGGTACAGTGCATCATGTATTAGTATCAGAAACAGAAACAGAAATAAAAGAAGGAGAATTTATTCCAGGAAAACTTCCAAAATCCATAACAGCAGAAATGACAATGCCAGTGGAAGAAACAGTTACAGTTTATGCCACACAATCAATACAAAAAGAAGGGGAATTTATTCCTGGAAAACTTCCACAATCTACTACAGCAGAAGTGACAATGCCAGTTGAAGAAACCATTACAGTCTTTGCGACAGAGACAGTACAGAAAGAAGGAGAATTTATTCCAGGAAAACTTCCAAAATCCATAACAGCAGAAGTGACAATGCCAGTGGAAGAAACAGTTACAGTTTATGCCACACAATCAATACAAAAAGAAGGGGAATTTATTCCTGGAAAACTTCCACAATCTACTACAGCAGAAGTGACAATGCCAGTAGAAGAAACCATTACAGTCTTTGCGACAGAGACAGTACAGAAAGAAGGAGAATTTATTCCAGGAAAACTTCCAAAATCCATAACAGCAGAAGTGACAATGCCAGTGGAAGAAACAGTTACAGTTTATGCCACACAATCAATACAAAAAGAAGGGGAATTTATTCCTGGAAAACTTCCACAATCTACTACAGCAGAAGTGACAATGCCAGTAGAAGAAACCATTACAGTCTTTGCGACAGAGACAGTACAGAAAGAAGGAGAATTTATTCC